TTACACATGCTTATTTCTGTACCCCACCTGGGAGCGCAGTGACTCCCAGTCCCAACACCACCATCAGAGCGAGGGCATGCCATGAGTTCTAGACTTCTCGAGCCTGGACAAGGCTTGATACTAGAGTCCGGCCAGAGCAATACCGTTGGCTTTTCTAGTCGTTGCTCTTTCCTGGGGTCTTAGCTTGGGCATTTCACTGTTGCACAGTCATCAAGCGCCAAGCCCGCTGCATTGGATAGCCCTGACGTAAAGGTTCCCGAAGCCTAAGACCCTTTCGTCACCTTCTGAACTACTATGTCTCGGGTTTCTTGTAGCGGGCATTGGGCGACATGCCCGCAAAGTCTGCCTAGTTTGCAGGCGTGGCCGCCCTGAACGACAAGCAGCTTGGGCACCCAACTGGCAGCATCTGCTATAGGAAGGGGTTCATGGGTAGTTATAAGTAGGGTTATAAGTGAGTAGCTATAATTATCACCCTATTAGGGGACTTATAACCCCACTTATGACTACCCATGAACCTCCAAGTAGGAAGGGGTTTAGAGTATTTTTCAACCGTGACAAATTGGATCCGCAAGGGATGCCCTGCGCGTTGAACCCCAACGCCGAAAGTGTATTATTTGTACATGCCTGCATGCATGCATATACATTCATCTTGCATACATATGCATAAATGCATAGACATACAGAAATACGTGCAGACAGAGAGCCAGGCGCACCGACAAACTGACATGTTTTCCTTTTCTATACTCAGGAAGATCGGACTGTCCACACTCCAGCACCGATAACTTGCTCATGGGGTCCGAGAGCTTTGGGTCGTAGCTGTCTCCTTGCTATTCCGAAGACCCAGGATCTGAATCCGGCAAAAAGATCCGAAAACTGAGTTCTTAACTCCGCCTGCGACCATAGCCATGCAACCTCGAGAAGCTGGATTGATTGAGGAGGCGATGCTTGATCAATACGGCTGTGACATTGATTCATGCAGCAGGTTCCTCCCACAAAACTTGTCAAGTCTAAGGCAGGCTGCAGCGGGTGTTGGATATGTTCGTTCAAGCCGTACCAGAGCCTACCCCGAGTTCGGTTCGCACCAAGACCTATGGAAAATTGATGACCCCTCTCAGCCCAATGTGGCCTCAACTCTACGCAGGAGGCCCCAGAGCCCGAACCAGAGCAAAGCTCCCAGGTAGATGCAGCTTGCGAGGTATCACAGGCTGGTGCGCGATGCGCTTTTTGGAGTCGAGCGGTTGGGACTTGGCTGAGGTCTACACTTAGGGCCTGATGCTGATGATTGGTTGTGGTGGGGGAGCCAGGGGCCGTTTTTCGGAGAGGGATAGGCACGGTTGCTTACGCTGGGATGAGAAGAAGAAGAAGTGAAGGAAGGGTGTTTGGAGATTGTTAAAGTTGTTTGTCAGGGCTTTGAGGTAGCCCGAGCAAACGGCCGAGAGCGAGCAAAACTGCCAAACCCCGATGTAGGGGATGAGGGGATGGGATCTCGCTTCCAATGCTCCGACGGATGGCACTCGTGTGCCCGCAGTATCTTGTCTTCGGCACAAAATGGGGGTTTCCGAAAATAGGGGACCCTAATATGGTGACCCTTATTATAAGGACCCCAAAATAAGGTACCCTGATTTTTTGAAACTCCCAAATCGGCTTCAAAGGCTGACTTGCTGCATTCTGCATTTCAGGGCTGGTGTAGTCCGCGCTTTTGGGTGTGACGATTCGACTAAGTGACATCACTGCTGTGCAGGCCTGAAGTGAACTACAGAGCTCAGCACTGCAACTGAGGGCCCAAATTTTCAAACTCCATCTGGAAACGAGAAACTGTTCCAGTTGTGAGTTCGGCACGTCGCGAGGTTCGGCCGTCCTAGTCAGCTGAAGAAGTCTTTGGTGATTTCCCTCATGGTCATGAGTTCGCGACGGCTTCGAGCACCCATCGTTTTCTTCTTGTGCTTGCCTCCGGTTCAAGAAGTCGCCTTTATCTGAAAACCAGTCGCAGCACCCGCGCTGAACCGAAACTTTGGAGCTGATGCCTTGACACATACACGGGCAGACACACACGCACACACGCAAACACAGAAACACATCCCCTGGCATGCTCCCGTGCCTTCGCCACCTTTGCATTTCGTAGAGGCGACTTTACACCTCAGGCAGTTTCTTGACCGCAGCAAGCGGAAGCGCCACCACGCCAGCCAAGGCTGCAAAGAGCTGATCTCCTGGATTAGTGCTTGCATGCTCTGCACGCTTCGGTCAATCTGCTGATAGCAGTGCAGGACTAGGGCCAGGGGACAGCGAAGGGCTAGGGAGGGGCTGTTCGTGTAGAGTTTATGTCACATAGAACAGCGTTGTCACGGAACTTGGCGAACAAGGCGCATTGTTTGCATCACTCTACAGGCTCTGAGAGGTCGGGGAATGGGGCCGTGACGCACGGGGGACATCTTCCTGTCTTGTTCGCTTCTGCCGTGGCACACTTGGCACCACAAGTGGGTGGACGATGCCTCCAGACATGAATGGCGGAAGGCTCAGCATGGAAAGCCTTCGTTCTCGCAGCTTCCGCAGGCTCCAGCCTGCGTTAATAACCTCAAGAAAACCCGACATGGCGTATGCAAGCTCATTATGCAAAGTATGCCTTGCAGAAACCTCGTAGATGAGCACGTTGAATGCATTGCTGGAAAGTGATAAACTCCAGTAAACTCCAGCGCGTGTGCGGTCCTCAACTGCTTCCGCTTGCTTCATGACCCGGAAACCTCGCACCGACGCAGTCAAAGCCTGTACCCGACAAGGCAGCAACTTGCACACGAATCCAGTTCCAAGCGTGCTCATACAGCATCAACGTTATCTCACACGGACGGAAATCCGAAGCCCACAAACCCCTTGAATGTCATGGGCTCGGTGCCACTGCGGGTTGTTGCGCTGCTGGGCGTCGCTGGATGCGCCGCCGACGAGCAGTGCGAGCCCGACTTGTAATCGCCGAACGCATAGCAGGGATGGTTGATGGGTTGGAAAAGGTGGACAGATGCAGCAGGTTTTACAATGCATCGTTTAGTTCTTGCTCGACATGAGTCTTTGTGAAAGTTTGGGAGAGTGGTTCCACAGCCCGACTTCCGTGCCAAGATCACATAAGCCTCAAATTCCATCGTCTTGCAGCCCGAAACCCAACTGCGACATCGTGAGCAAGCTCTCAAGCTCACGACCTATTCCTCCATATAGATTCCCTAAACCCTGTAATATTGGGGCCTAAATAAGTATCTATGCCATCTTGGGGGGGCGCCTTATTAATTTATAGTAGAATGGTCCCCAAAGCCCTATTCTAATTTTAAATGCGCCTACATTACTCCTACACTTTGAGATTGCCTTCCTGAGCCGTGAAGTCACCCGGGCTTATTGAGATCTGCCGATCGTCCGAACCGAACTCCTCACTTTAGACTCTGAAGGCTGTCCACCCGCATGCGATAAGAGTACTAATAATGATCATCGTCATAACAATAACGATATTAGTAATAGTAGTAATATAGCAAGAATACTTGTCATTGTTCTTATAATGCTGATGGCAATAACAGTGAGAAGACGAATGTCGATAACAATAACAATAACTATAGTAATGACAACAAGATCATAATCATCACCATAATAGTAATAGTGATAATAGGAGAAACAAAACAACCGGCCCTAGGACCGAAGACCCACACCCCGAAGGTTTGCGCAGAGGCCTGTTTTCCAATCAAAGAGGTTCTCACGGTTACCAGGGAATGTGCCTCCTATGCTAATTACATGACACTGTCTACATATTCCTACTGCTTGAGACTCTCTTCTCAGTCTCTTGCTCTCTCATTCGGAGAAACCTCTATCGCTTGCGCGCTGCTGAGGTCATTCCTTGGCCAGCGCGAGGCACCCTTCCCATGCTTCAGCTTTGGGGAGAGATTCAATAATCTTGTACAATATTATATCATACAATATGGCAGTAGACAATCTGCTAGGACGTCATAGGGACCCTTAGGGGGGGTAAGGGGGAGGGGGACCATACTTCCTTAAGTAGGCCTCATCAGGTCCTGATTGCAGTTATTGAGGCCCCCTACACCCCCCCCCCTCTATCTCCCTAAGGGTCCTTTTGATTTAGTATCATACTATAGTAAACACAATAATAATAAATAGTATGACATACTATAGTAAAACATAATAAATAGCAGGCTTTTGTCAGAGGACCCCGAAAGGCCAAGGTCCAGATGCGGGGCAAAAGCGTCCAATGGAGCCTTGCGGCATTGCCTGTAGGGGACCTTCGGAGGTTGGGGCGTGTTGGACCGATGCGGCTCGCCATCGCTGCTACCTGCTAGTATATTACATCTACACCTGGCGCGAGTCTGCCTCTTTGGATCTGCGCAGCTCCGCAAATCCTTGATAAACCCCCGAAGATGCAACAGAAGCCCTATGGGAATCCTCACTTCCCACTGCATTCCCGCAAGCCCAAGCCCCATAGTCTTAGAGCCTCGTTTGCGGCACCCCAAAGGGAATCGGGTTCAGAGTTCGGGCTGGAAAGAAAAAATATGTATATCGTATATACTAGAATATAACCTATAAGAATATGGTATGACATAATATACTTTAACCACATAAGGTCTTCGTTCTTGTCCAGGGGTCGCTGCACTGCCTCGGAGACTGCCGCGGCTGCTACGACGCTCTTGGCGAATTGTCCTTGGACCGACCCCTGGATCGCAAGGATGCTTTGCCCATCGGCTGTTACGAAGTGTGGCGGATGATCGTTGTGTTAGGGAGGGGGTTTAGGGTTTAGGGTGGGAGGGAGGGAGGGAGGGAGGGAGGGAGGGAGGGAGGGAGGGGGAAGGAGGGAAGGAGGGAAGGAGGGAAGGAGGGAAGGAGGGAAGGAGGGAAGGAGGGAAGGAGGGAAGGAGGGAAGGAGGGAAGGAGGGAAGGAGGGAAGGAGGGAGGGAAGGGAGACAGAAATTCGTGTCCTCCTCCACACCCTGCGAGAAGTAGGACTCGTGGTTGTGTGAGAGGTGGTGGCTCGGCCAAGGGGCACACCGAGCTGAATAAAGCGGCTTGGTTTTGGGAAAAATTGCGAATTTGTGAGCGTTCGTTTGTGTTGAACTCAAGATGTCGGTCTGCAGCTCTGGATTTCTGAACTTCGGGAGAGTCAAGATGATATGGATGTTTCATTGAGGGATTGACGGGTCTATGTCCGGGATCCTGCGCGTAAGTGCCACTGAGGCGAAGACCGAGGACATCGAAGCCTGGCTGGCTGCTCCGGAGGTCGGATTTGTCGGATTGGAATCCGATAAACCTGCCCCTGAGCAGACGTCCTTGCTACGAGGTATTTCGAGCTACCGTAGCAATGAGCTGCTACCTAGAATCAGAGAGAGGTGAAGCTACTGCACTAGCTACACCAGAAGCCCAGCCACAAGCCCATGGAATTCACTGCAGGTCTGCGATGCCCACCTGATGTTCCCTGTAGACATCCAACGTCAGGCCTTGGGGATCCGGAGGTTTCGGCTTCGAGGAGTTGAACATGGGCGAGAGTTCACAAATTCCTTCACGACCCTTCAACGCTTGTGGAGTAAGATGACTCCAAACCCGATTCTGATTCTTCGGGCCCCTGCAGGAGCAGGAAACCAGGCATTTTGATTTGCAACCAAGCGGGGTTGGGTTACGGGGCTGAACACCGCTTCCTGCCGTGACATAGCGTGGACATCTGACTAACTCCAAAAGCGCTGTAATGTTGATGACAGGGGTTAGGACAGTTTGTCCTCATCCTTTTTGTCGGCATGCGCAATGATAGCTTGGGGTCTAGCTTGTTTGCCTCGAACTCTGGATAGCGCCCTTGCGGTGGCAGTGCATTGGGTTCTCCCGGAACTGCAAGATTTTGATGTCACCAGGTTCCATGCAGAAGACCTCAGAGTTTGTTCCCAAAGCTACAAACACACCGTGCTGTGACAAAGATCTTGTCCTAAACCCTACATACTGCCGAAAACTGAGTCCCCAGCCACAGCAGCATCATGAGAGTGAAAAGCCATGTTGCCTTAACTCCCGAAGTCCGAAAGGTTGAAGCCTTAGGGTATCAATACAAGAGCTTCAAGACTGACTACTTGGCTGCACGACCCCTAAGCCCTAAACCCTGAAGCTGAAGGATTGGATAGGGCTTTCAAGGTTTACCTCCCTTGGATTGGCACAGTGTAGGAAGGCAAGGTGTGGCGATTCAAAAGGGACCCGAGTTTGAGAACTACCATGAACTACGCAAACACTGGTAGAGGCGTCCTGGAGCCTGCCTTGCCACCCAAGCACCCGAACTTGCAGGCATGGAGCCTAGCTGCAGCCCCTGAGGAGTACCTTCGCTTTCGGGGGGCGGAGCAGGCCAGAACCTGTATGACATGTTGAGGTCCAGTCTCTCGGTACTCTGCCTGGTCCATGGGGCGCAAAAGATCCGCAAGAGTGAGCAGCTGCGCAGTTCTCCCTTGATGCGCATGAAGGTGGAAGAAGCCAAAGACCCAAAGCAGTGCCTACTGCGCACCGTCCGAAACACCGAAGCTCAAGGATAGGCCCGCCACTTCGAACAGATTTCTGTGAGACCTTGAAGCAAACCCTAATACAGTACCCTAAATAATAGGATCCTTATTGTAAGGACACCAAAATGAGGTACCCTAATTTGCGGAAAGTCCCAAATCCCCCAAGCACGAACTCCAGGACAAACGCAGTACACGAGAACTGTGCCAGTCCCTCCAGCTGCTTTCGATCTCGGCGTGGCAAGGAGTGCAACACCATCCCTTCTAGGTCCATGGCACCTTATATAGGTCGTTTTTGGCAAACCATGCGGACTCGGGACGTAGCGTTTGAGTCTGGATTGCGTGGGTGTGGGAAATGTGAGTCCAAGTGTGGCATGTACCTTGTGTGTCCATATGTCCTGCGCGTGCCGAACTCCGGCTGAGTTTAGAATCTGATGCTCACCATTGGAGGCCAAGAAAGTTCAAGGCCACGGAACCATCCCAACTCAACGACCCACTCAAATCTACTATAACAAGCGAAAACATACTGTAAGCTACCTAGCATAGAATAATCTACAATATAATCACAAAATAGTATAATATAATACACTCAAATAGCCTAAAAGTATAAGAAAAGGTAATATAATATGATATTCCTTTGCACCTTGAGTCTCGAGTCTCAACTCCTGACCAGCCTCTGAGTCGAGGAGCCCGGCGCTCAGCGCTGTCTTGTCGCCACGAGGCGACTTGGTTCTTCTGGGCAAAGCGATTTGTTAGGCGGTTCGGGGCTTAGGGTTTCAAAAAGCTTTTGGGGGGGTCTCTGTGTTAGGGCCTAGGGATAAAATGGGGGGGGGTTCAGATTTTCGGATCTTCCGAAACAGCTTCGAAGTGCTGCGCGTGTGTTGCGGCATAGTTTCGCTCAGCCAGGAGCAGCAAGGTGCAGAGGAGTGAGAAGCCGAAGCTGTATACCTTCCCCAAAGCCCTCCAAAGCCACCGAAGTGCCTTCCCTCATCTTCGAGGCTAAAGCAAAGCAACCTCTTAGGGTCCCAGCTTCGCCTCGGGGGTTCCAGGATATCAGTTGCTTGAAGCCCCGACGGGAGAATGCCATGCGTGTGCTGTCGCGGCAGTGGAAGGACGCAAGGCTCACCTACAAGGGGGCGGGGGAGGGGGGGGCTTGTGGATTTGGTGTCAGTGTTAATGTCTGGCTGAAGATCATTGCCATATTCCTAGTAATGTCTATGAAATGCAACGAGGTGCTCTCTAGTTGTTGTTGACGGGATGTGGAGCGTCGGCCCATAAATCAAGATTCGTGTTGGTCATCAGAATTGTTTAGGAAGATCGTCAGTAGACTGTCCCTGGGGGGTTGCGGAATGTGTTTTCTTCTATTTTGGGACAGCCTCCGGAATGGATCGTTTCGAAGCCTGTCTTTTGCCGGACGGTTTGGAAGCCTGCCTTTTGCCGCTTTTAATGTTTAGGGTTTAGGGTTGCCAAGGAGACATCCAGGCGGGCTGCCGGCGCAGCTACCGCATCTGTCGAGATCTCCTTCGCTGGGAACGAGACTCCCACTCTCCTCCAGGCCGATCCTGTAGGATACGGTTGATGATATAAGTCCCGCATTACCCATAATAGGGAACATACCATAATTCCCATTGTTTAGGGCCCTTACGGCCTTAAGGTAATGCAGGATTTATATCATCAACAGTGTGTAGGAATGCTGATAGTAGAATCGTATGTACGTTTGTGGAATCCTGACAGGGACCATGATGCCAACCTCTACGAACCCTAAACCCAAAAAGTCGTGTTTATTACATAAGGGAATCAGAAAAGCCTGTAAGAATTAGCAGTTCCGTGTTCGTGAGCCTTTTGAGCAACGCTCAAGAAACCAAGTCAAACACCAACATGGGAGCTTCAGAAGAAAAGTTCGGGACCCTCATGCGGAATCCCTAAACAAGTAGGATCTTCGTTTGGGGGCTCCCTACTTGCCACCCCCCTAGCTTTCTATGGCCCTTAAACCTTAACACCCTAAAGCCTGAACCCTAAACCCTAAACCCCTAAACCCCTAAAAATCCTGAACCCTATAAACCCCCAAAAACCCTGAACCCTAACTCCACACCCTAAGCAGGCTTTAGCATCTTCGGGGCAGCTGGCTCTTTCCCAGGCCCGGCCTCAGGGGGCCAAGGGTTCGATGGCCAAGAAGCATCTACACACGGGTAGTTTTCTAAAGTAGGGTCCCTTGGGGTCTTTTTTATAAGGGTGCCGTACTATGTTGGGGACCCAAAAAGGGACCCTAATTTTGAGAACTACCCACATGATGCCTCCTACCTGTCGGTACCCTAAACCCTAAACCCTAAACCCTAAACCCTAGTCTCAAGTGATCAGGAAGTAGGTTATACTTTCTTGCACATGTAGATTGCATCAATACCAATCGGTACCGACAGTGTTCCGCTGAAAGTCCCTATCTATAGGTACGTATTAGTATTGTCAGTCTTGTTCAGATGGTCATAGGTAGATATAGCTGGTTCGTAACAGGGATTTGAGTGCCCCCATCAAGAGGATTCCAGAAACCCTGAGTTCTGAGATCCTTCAGTATAAATATAGGGGCCTTAAGATCTATAGACCTATACTATTGTGGGGGTTCGATATAATCAATATAGTATGATATACCCCAAAACTGAATTCCAATTACTAAGGCCCCTACATTATGTTTGTCTTTTAGCTCTTCAGCCACGGGCAGGCGATTGTAGGATGCCTTGGGACGTTGGCAGAATTGCGATACTACGGTTGATCGATGTTATAACACCGAAACATAGGACTACGGTTGATGATATAAATCCTGCATTATCCAGAATAAGGAATAAACCAAAATTCCCATAGTGTAGGGCCCTGAAGGTAATGCTGGTTTATATCATGAACAGTATAGAGTACCATTATGGTTGTGACGATGATGATAAGAAGTCTCGTTAGTATCATGAGCTCGTGGAACATGGCAATGGCTGTTGGGGACGGGCACCTTCGACTACTTTGGGGTCGCCTAGCAGTCATTGTGTGGTTACACGGGGTTACTACAATGCTGGGGGGTTGCCTTCCTGATTTCTTTGTATTCCTACCCAGCAAAAGACACCTGCTGTGTGATAAGTTCGTACGGAAGCCAAACCCGAAACGTCCAGGATAGTTATGCCGACAGCTAACCGACAGTGGCGGAGTGGTAGTACTGCTTGCGTACCAACTACGATGGGTTCTAGCTGATTCTGGGTATCGACCGGCAAAATACCCCACCACGGCCGGTTGTCTCCTGAAAGGCGATGGGTGCATCCCCGGAGGCCTTGTGGTTGGAGCTTTATTAGGGTTTAGGGTTTAGGGTTTAGGGTTAATTTATAACTTTGGGGTTTATGTAGCTGCTCTTGGGTTTAGGGTTTGGGTTTCAAGGTTTGAGGCATTTGAGGTTCCTGCTCAATAGTCTTAGCCCGGAAGCCGAAGCGAGCCTAAACTCCTAATTGACCCCAAAAACCGAAACCTAAACCCCAAGCCGCCCTAAACCCTTTTATAAAACAAAAAGGCTCTCAACCCATCCTGAACTCGTCTTCGATTCCGGAATTCCGCCATTTTTTGTGAGTTCAGGGATCCGGGAGCAGGGTAAGTCAGGACTAACCGGGAGCTGGGTAAGGAACCCTTACAAGGTTCGGGATTTAGGGCTGCTGGGGTTCTGTATTTTGTAGTAGTATATCGGTTTAGGGTTTACGGATTTAGGGTTTGGGGTTTAGGGTTTATTCATGTAAAGACTACAAGGCAAGGGACTATCTTTACTATTTGTTCAGAACCCCGGTTCTACAAACCGGGGATGTGTTCGCTTGCACGATCCTGGCAAGAATCCTGACGTCGGCCAGACGAGATCCTGTCAGGATCATAGAGGCAGCCCTAACACAGGGACCTGAATAGTTAGAATAAGGGTTGCGGGGCCCATTACAGTAAATTAATAATAAGAAGCCCCCAAAACAGTATTGGTAATTATTTTGGCGCCTACATTAAACCCTAAACCCTTTGCCGATATGGTAGCCAATGTTTGTCTGGACTTCCGCATATTCGGTGTTCTCCACCAACGGACAGGCATCGAAACTACACACTCCGACGTGTCTTTTTGTGATCACCCCGTAAAGTCAATCATATAGGGGGTGTGGAAAATGTATTATAGTATTCCGTTCTAATTCTAGTCCCGATATTGTCATAGTATTCCATGCCGCAAAGCCCAATCCCGATTTCTACGGCCCTACTTCAATCCTTTATTGGTAACCCTGATAGAACGACCATAAAAAGGCCCTATCCTAACTATTTTGGCCGCTGCCCCTGAACCCTAAACCCCTAAATCCCTACCCTAAACCCCCAAAGCCCTACACCCCAAACCCCAAACCCCAAAACCCCCAACCCCTAAACCCCTCAACCCTTACACCCTGAACAACTTTTAGCCCCTCAACGCCTAAACCCCCAAACCCCTAAGCCCCTAGACCCTAAACTCTAAACCCTAAGAAAACCCTAAACCCTACAAAACCCTAAACCCCAAAAACCCTAAACTCCTAAACCCTAAAACCTAAACCCTACAAAACCCTAAACCCCAAAAACCCTAAAAAAAACCTAAGCTCCTAAATCCTAAACCCCAAAAACCCTAAAAAACACCCTAAGCTCCTAAAACCTCTACAAAACCCTAAACCCCAAAAACCCTAAAAAACACCCTAAGCTCCTAAAACCCCTACAAAACCCTAAACCCCAAAAACCCTAAAAAACACCCTAAGCTCCTAAAACCTCTACAAAACCCTAAACCCCAAAAACCCTAAAAAACACCCTAAGCTCCTAAAACCCCTACAAAAGCCGCACTCCAGGAGCTCCAAGCCCTGGCGTCTGAAGGCGGGGCGGATGAAGCCCTGTCTCGCCTGGCCATGGAGCTCGGGCGCCTGGCCCGGCAGGCTCAAGTTGTTGTTTGGGGCTTTAGGGCTTCAGGGTTTGAGGTTGTTTTAGGGTTTTAGGGCCTTCAGGGTTAGGGTCCTTTAGGGTTTTAGGGCTTCAGGTTTAGGTTTTTTTTAGGGTTTTAGGGCTTCGGGTTTAGGGTCTTTGAGGGTTTTAGGGTTTCAGCTTTGAGGGTTCATTTGGGGTTTCAGGGTTTTTAGTGTTTGGGGTTCTTTAGGGGTTCAGGGTTTTAAGGGTTTAGGGCTGTTTCAGGGTTTTTTAGGGTTTGAGGTTTTTCAGGGTTTCAGGGTTTATAGGGTTTGAGGGTTTAGGGCTTTTAGGGTTTAGGGTTTCGGGTGCCAGATGTTCACTGCTGCCGTAATTGCGATTTCCGGGCTCGGGGCAAAACACCCGAAGTCTCCGAAAGCCTGAACCGAAAGACACATCCCAAAAGGCACAAGCCTGAAAGAGAGTGTCGATTATTCCAGCCTTCACGGGGTTTCGCGACTCCCTGATTGGCGGAAGCCTCGTCTTGGTCTTACCTCGGGCTCAGCAATTTGGCGAGAACGGCCCAACTCCAGGACAGGGGCCTACATAGTTACCAGTACTATTCCTCAGGGTCTTTCATTCGAACCGTGCTATTACCCCCGGGCCCTATTCCAAGAATGAAGGGCCGTATCTTTTCATTCCTAAGCCGGAGGTCATGGAGCATTCGCGGACCATCTGGGGGCTGAAGCAGCTAGCTCTGGAGCTCTCCGATGTTTATCCCAACATCCAGAGACTGGGACTTTCGGGATTTAGGGTTTCGGGTTTAGAGTTTAGGGTTTAGGGTTGGAGATTCAAAACAACTTCAGGTGAAACCCGAAAGGCCTTTGGTCCCAATATTCTCACTTTGGATGAGAATCCCCAAGAAACTCTACAATCCGGCAACCTGCATCCGACAGACTGACATCGAACTCAGGAGCCAGCTGCCTACATATCGTTTTCAGACGCGCTTCTACGGCAGGCAGCAGTTTCTTCTCTGCAGAGTGGAATGGGCAGGTCGCACAGCATGCGCTAGGGACGCAAGCTGGTGAGTTCGCTATGTCGCTATGTTGCCCACCTGATATATAGGCCTGCGAGTTACTTTAGGGGTGTCTCTGGTTGTCGTCTTCGCTTCGGACTTGGATGATGATGAGAGGCTGTGTAGTAGACCAATGTGTGCAGGCATTTCGACGTGCTCGAACGCCTGCTGGATGGCCTGGAGAAGCAGAAAGGCAAGAAAAGCAGGTCTAAGGGTTCATTCTTCCTGCGCCCATCCCATGCACTCCATGCTGCAGCCATGCCAGCGTGATTTCAGGCTAAACCAAGCCCAGTACAAGAACTGACTGCAAACTGATAGCTGCGAACCAACATGCTGAAAGCTGATGTTGAAGAAGCAGCCAGACTATCAACTGACAGGTCAGCCTGATGTCGAGATTCGCATGGCCGAGTTGGGTGTCGCGTGTGGGCCCATGGGTCGCCGGCCAGCAAAGGGGCGCTCAGATTTTGAAGCTTGTTTCAATACAAACACGGTCTGGGCCTTGTAAACATGAGCATGAGCGTGTTCATATAAATACATACATATATATATATACACACAAATATATCTACACATATGCAGGTATGTGTGAACACACACAGGCATCCATACAAACAAAACGCCTTGAAGACTAAATGAGATGTTCCTCTCACTCAGTTTTGGCCACCATGTTCTCTACATGTTCATAATCACTTCAGTTGCTCTTGATTCAGAGGCCTCCATCTGCTCGCGCGTTTCCCACAACTCCGCTACTTCGGCGCTGACCCGACGATCAAGGACGAGGTCAGGGAGGCATACTCGCCGGAGACTCACAGACGAGCTGGTGGGGTGTTGACCTCGGTAGTTTAGGTTTTCAAGCTGTCTGTGCGAAGAGCTTCAGGTGAGGGACGGAGGGCTCTGTTACATTGCCTAAGGACAGACCGTACACCGGTTGAACCTGAACCTCAACCTTAAAGCCTGAATACTGAATAACTACCTCAGCACGGCTGCCACCACGACAACAGGACCCACATCAATACGGCCCAGAGCAAGAGCAAGACGAGGACAGCATGAACATGAGCAGGAGCACAGCATCAGCAGCAAGAAGCAAAACAACAACTAAAGGAATGGGAACAGGAGCAAGAGCAACAACAACAACAACAACAGCAACAGCAGCAGCAACAGCAACAACAGCAGCAGCAGAGGCATTAAGCCTATTGAAACATAGCGAACATGATAGACGAAGAGAAGGACGATACGGATGATTTCAACCACATTCTTTACGTAGCTTCAGGGCAACAGAGCAACGGAGCTTTAGGGCAACAGAGCAACGGAGTTACAAGCCAATCCTGAACATGGCACCCACAGCAAGTTTGCCGTTGTAAGCCTGCGTGTCTATCGTTTTCGGAAGATTGGATGTGAGGTATGCCATGCTACACACAGGGTTGAGCGTGTACATGGCAACGCCAGAATTGAAGCCGCGAAGTAAGCAACAGGTGCTAGGACCATGGGCACTGCTGCAGACAGAAGAAGCCCTGCACATCAAGATGGAATCCCGAACCCCCGAGAAAGGTGCTACCTTGATTTGTGCGGGAGGAGGCTGTTTTGAGTGCAGAAATCGGCGGGATGGCTGCGAGTTTTAGTGAAGTGCCCCTCAAAGCATCGAAAGGGTAGGGTCTGATATTTACGGACACCCTATTCAATACGCCACGAAACCACCAATTCACAAAGTCGTTCTGCTTCCCCGTTTCGTCAAAAGCCATGGCTTTACGACTAGGTGGATGTCTGGGTCAAGAACTGGCTGGTTTGGTGAGGTATTGGTTGGGACCACAACACTTATTGCTGTTGTCAGGGACACTGGCTCAGAAGTCCGACCTACGACTCCGGTCACGGCGGTACAATAATGCCAGCATCACTGGTATCATCGATCATCGCTATCATTACTCAGAATCGCTATTATCAGTCTTGTCTATTGTGGAGTTACCAACTTGGCATTTATGGTCCTGATTTTCCTTGATGGCCCTCAGTCAGCACGGTCAGCCTTTTAGTTTCTTCTTTCGCTGGTGGTTATCCTCCATCAAACCCATCATGAACATCATCCTGGTTCTTGCCACATGCCAGTACTGCCAGTGCTGATCTGTCAAGCTTGCTATGCATGGCCCTGAAGCCCTACAGCCCTCTGAATCCGTAAATGTCTAAACCAAGTACTACGTGCCGAGGCCCTACGCCGCGCGTGCGGAGCTGCACGCCACCACGAGTGAAGAGATGCATCAAGCGCTGCTGGGCCGTTTTTTTCTGTTTAAAGAGATACGGTTGATGGTATAAATCCTGCAGTACCCGTTGTAAGGAATATACCATAACTCCCATAGTTTAGGATCCTTAAAATCTCTGCTCCTACAGGAGTTTGGGATTCAGGCTTAGAGGCAGTGGTGTGTAGCTTTCTGCGCCTGACTCTGGTAGTGCTGCTAGAAGAGCTTCAGCTGAGGGCACCTGAAAGCATGTGCCTTAAGGCCCTCGGCTGGAGGTTTTACAGAGCTTGGTGAAAATGTCTACTTACTAGATATTCATATTGGTTCTAATTATTCTAATTATTAGTGTTATCATATATATATATATATATCACAGTCATTGCGCGGGATAAGGCTGAGGTTTCTTACTTGGAGGGCGTCACAGGCATCGTTCTCCAGGAGCTGACTTGAGCTTGTCATTTTGTGGGCCCGTAGTCGTCATCCACCACCTTGCTTGTCGCATTCTTGCTTCATAAGCCCAGCTAAACCCTAACCCCAAAACCCCCAAACCCTCGACCCTAAACCCCTAAACCCTAAACCCCTAAACCCCTAGACCCTAGACCCTAAGCCCAGGCCGAAGATCTCTGGGCAGGAGGGATCCAATTTTTTCTGCTCAGAGCCTGAAGGTCAAAGAAGCGGAGTTTCTCAGAGTTTTCTGCTCAGATTCCTTGACTGGGCTTTGGAGTACCATACTTTAATACTTTGTTAAAAAGAAGTCTATAATTTTTTCGCCCTGGTTACTCAAAGCCCGGTTGATGTCGCGTGTGGGATCAGCTCCCCTAGCTTGCTTGTATGCCCTTTTGGGTTTTAGGGTTTAGGGTATATGTGTAGTCTAGTGTGTAGCAGTACCCCGGGCGACGCCGTTCCGAAAACTTGTTGAGTGTTTGGTCCTGGCCTCTGGTGTCTGAATCATTGATCCTTGTGATCTAAACCTAAACCCCTGAACACCTAAACCCCTAAACCCCTAAAGCCCGAAACCTTAAATCCCTAAACCCCTAAACCACCCGAAACCCGGGCAGCTACCTTGGCCAACGAGGCTGGCCGATGCAGAGCCCATGGACATCGTCTTCGTGGATGGTCCCCATACCTATGCGAATGTGAGAAACGCTCCTTACCTCAAGTTTAGGGCCTTCATAATTCGGAAATGGTTTTGGGGTCAATTATTTTACATTTATACTGCTTAAAGCCGTAGACTAATTAGGGTTTGGGTTTAGGGAAATCAGCCTTCGACCGGTCTCATTCAGAATCATTTCCTTGCCGAAAATGGGTTTGTTTAACATGTCGGGTTAGCGCTCACCCTTGAGGACCGTGTTGGGAACTGTCTCGCAAAAGGCTGCTCAAAATGTCGACTCAGCCGTTTCCGCCGGGGGCTGAATTCCTCAACCACCACAGGCTTGCATGCCACAGGGCAATTGTTGTTAAAGCAGCCACACATGTTACAGCAGTTCATCACTTCAGAAGGTAGGAAGCCATCAAAGGTCAGCTCCAAGCATTAAACCCTAAACCCTAACACCCCAAACCCTAAACCCTAATACCCTAATACCCTAAACCCTAATACCCTAATACCCTAATACCCTAATACCCTAAACCCTAAACCCTAATACCCTAATACCCTAAAGCGCTTGGAGCCCCCCACCTGAAGCCTTGACGCGAGCTCCTTCGCGAAGCGGAAACCCCGATGAAGTGCTCGGCTCCTCTTCGGAACGTCGGCTGCGAGGGAAGTGTTGATATAGGGGCCGAACTAAGTACCTATACTTTTTTTTTTTTT